CAAATGCAGAAAGTTAGGCCCAGAAAAGTCAATGGCCATAATCAAGGTCACAATAAGTAGATTTCGGATTTGGGTCTCAGATGGTGTGAATTAACTTTTTCCCATTCCAACTCATTTATGGTAGTAGAAGAATCTTTTCCTTATCATAACTTTTGCTATCCTATTTATTCCTGTTTCAAAATGTATCACTGATCACTGTATTTACCACTATGTAGAGTAGTGCTATATTTTTATCTCATTAAAATGTGTGTACAATGTCTATTGAAATACTTTTCTTAAGTATGGGATGAAGAAGCAAATGTTTAATCTGAGCTCTCAATCACTGTAATTGTCTTAGTTCAACTAGTGTTAATTATATATGGCAGTCAACATTGTATTTACAAAGTTTACTCCTTTCTATCTTTGTCTTGGGGCATTTCATCAACTGAGAAAGTGAAATATAACTATGCCCTATTGTTTTTCCCATCCCCATGTCCTATTATCTTTCTTGTACCCCTTCCTCTGAATTAGGTCTGCAATCATTTCATTGCAGTCTATCAAAGCTAGAGGCACAAACGACCACTAAGATGCAATGGTGACCATGAAAACATTGGCTTCTAGACGTACTCCATGTTCTAATTACCTTCTCCTCTCTTCAAGCTTCCTCCTGCATGGATTTCCTTCACTTGCTAATACAGCTGGCTTTCTGAACTACTTGGCTGCTTCTCACCTTGCCTCATGAGAGACTGGTAATACATACTAGCTCACTTTGCTTTTCCTCGTTAACAGCTGACCTCTCCACAGAAATGGAAGGACAAACGGTGAACAAATACATCAATGGTACTCACTGGAAACTATGTTGAAAATGAACTATATAACTTGTGGGTGGGCATGGGAGGGAAAATTTGGGAGTGCAAGGAAAGGGGTAACAATGTCCAACAATAAATGTACTCTTCTTATGTCACGGTAACCCCTCTGTACATCACCTCTATACTAACATTAAAAAACAAATTTTTATAAATAAAAATGGCCATTATTACACTGCATCTACCAGCTGCAGGCCCCAGGTTCCATGTTTATTCAAGCCCCTGTGAAACTCTACGCATCTGTAATACTCCCAGACATAACCTAGCTAAGAGATGCAGAAGTAACAGAGCATGTTTTATCTGTTTTTGACATAAATCTCAGGGAAATAAGGTTTTACCTACAACTTTTCAATAGAACTTTGAATTTTCTAATTTGTAGAAACCTCCAGCATGAATAGTTTTCAGTTCACAATTTCCCCTGCAGTTAGTAATTCTAACAAATGGAAATCATGACCTATTTGTGTGGCCTGTCTCAAGGTCTCTCCCAAAGGAAACTGGTAACTTTTGACTAAATGATCGTATCTTAGAGATATTTCAACATCTGGATCTACTTTATAAAAGCTTAGTTTCACAAGTTATACCCAGAAAAAAAATGCAATTGAAAACATAGCTACAAGGAAACCACATCAGTGGGACCGTTAAAATTTTACTAAGGTAAACATTAGGAATGTGACAAATTGCTAATTTCCTATGAAGGATCATAAAATTCCAGCTGAGAGCTCTGGGTGAGGGGAGATGGGAGAAGATAAATAAGAGCATTCCCTAGCCAGAAACTCCTATTGCTTAGACTTTTACTTAAAACATAGATGTCATGTATTGCCTTAGAAGTTATCATTAGCCTTTAAAACCACTGCTCTCACTGAAACTTCCTTTCAAGATCTGGTCTACAGAAATCATAATCCCACGATAGTGATGGGAAAACTTACAGGTGTTTAGCACTATCTAACTGAAATCGCCACACCAGAAAGATTTTGTGTTATGAGATAAGCAAAGAGATGATAATAACCATTAAATTCTCAGAGTTTCCCAGGAAAGCAGTGATAATGTCAGGGTGCAGCTTGATAGAGATCTTTCAGCTGACCTTGAACTCTAATATTAAATAGATAATCCTGACTCCGAGTAGGAATGAAGTATGTATGCTAATATGTATTACCTTTTATGAAATATGCTATGTGTGATATATGTACATATGTGTCCCTTTTTATACACACACAAAGTCAATAGTAATGAAACAATACATCAGTACTTGAGAATTTTCTCCTTATTGAAAGTGTCCCAGATAATAAATGAAGAAAAATTGATAGAACTAAAATATCACTTGTTCAAACTCTTAAATAAACTAAAAATGGATAACAATCTCTCAATGGAGTATAATCTCCCAAAGAAGTGATACATCAAGAAACTCCTAATGGAATAATATAACTTATGAAGTAGCTGTGCCAAAAAAGATAAAAATCTTAAATCTACTACTACTACTAACATATGCAACTACTAACATATAGAGAATATAGGAGAACATGTTCTTTTTCAGGGGGATTTTTAAAATTGTTATTATAAAGGTGATGTACCCGAGGGGTTGTCCTTTTGTAAGTCAGACCATGAGTATATTTCCTTAGGACAATGTCACCTCTTCCTTTGTTCTCTCTCAGTTTTTCCCTCTTGTCTCCGCCCACAAGTTTAGTTCATTTTTAACATAGTTCTTACTGAATTCCACTGCTGCATATGTTCACCCCATATCCCTCCATTGGAACATGTTCATTTATATCTTGGTTGTGTAAATAAAAAAATTCAGACCATAGAAAATGTGCACACCACTGTGAAAAATTTCAAGGGGAGGGGAAGATGAAGTTAGAGTGAACATTTATAAATTAAAATTGACGCAAAATGAACCCCAAGATAAGGACTCAAATGTTTTTTTCTTGCTTGCGATTGTTTCTAACATATTTATAAGATATTTCTTTGTTGCTTTGTATGTCCCTCCCCCACAGTATAACCCCTGCTTTCACTAAATTTGATGTTGGTATAATTTGTGGAGGGGAAGGGAAAAAACAAATTGTTTAAATAGGGATACAGGTGGATCCATCGCAACAATGAGATGTGCAAATTGTTATGTCGAAAAATGAACTTTATGAATTTGGCGCGGGGAGAGGGGGGAGGAGAAAGGGAAGGGGGGAGGCATGGCGGGAGAGGGGAGGGGAGGAAGAGATAGGAAGGGATGGGAAGGGGAAACAAAGGAGGAGGCAACAATGCTTGATAAGAAGTGCACTCATTACCTTGCCCATGTAATTACAACCCCTCTGTAAGGTATTTTCACAATTTAAAAGAAAATCGTGAAAAAATAAATAAATGAAAATAAAATAAAATTGACATATTGACATATTGATTTATCAATCAATAACAGTATGTGGACCATTTTTGGATCTCACTTCAAAGGGGAACATTTACAAGGCACTTTCAAATGGATACTTACACCTTGGATGGTTATTTCATAATTGAGTAAGGAATCTTTTTTTTTTTAATGTGATACTAAGGTTTGGAGATTTAGCTCAGTGGAAGAGCACTTATCTAGCAAATGTAAGACCCTGAGTTCAGTCTTCAGCTCTGAAAAAAAATGTGATGCTGATGCTATAATTACAGTTTTGAAAAATATTTTACCTTTCAAAGATATGTACTAAAATGTTTTCAGATTAAATGATATATCTGAGATTTGCTTCAAGATTATATAGGGTTGGGAAATGAATGGAAGTTTTGGTAGAGAAAGATTGACCATGACTGTGAGGGTTGAGTGATCAAGTGAATTGCCTAACTCTGTCTTCTTTTGTGTTCGTGTTTGCTAGAAGTACTGTATAATAATAAAAAATACACATTTCTTTATATTCTGTATCCAATGTTTTAAATATTTCAAAGAAAGAAATGTATCAGGACTGTTTAAAAATAAGTATATATTCTAGAGTTTTATCTACCATTTTCAAAAATGGCCCATTTTTGGGTAACAGAGCAAGTATAAAGAATAAGCTTTATTATTTATTTATCTTTTTATTTATTTAACTTAACAATATATCATTTGTATTTATTATTATTCAATGTAAAATTAATTTTCTACAATAAAACTATATGTGTGTCATTAAGTTTAATTAAGTCCACTATTAGTCTAGTAGGACAAAAATTTACCAACATATAGATACCAGCTATATATCAAGTTTCAAAAACAAAACAAGGATTCTTTTTTCTTTATAGTGCATAAGTTACTTTCTAATCCAGAACACAAAATATTGTTTTTTAATCTAGACATTTTTGAGCTACTTCTACTTTGTTTCCTTCCCCCACCCCCACCCCAATATCGGGCCTTGTGCTTGCTAGGCAAGCACTCTTACCACTTGAACCACACCCTCAATCCTTGTACAGTCCTTAATTGCACAACATATGCTAAGAAGGATAAGTGTGGTTTTTCCAATATCTAATCCTGCACTTCTCACACCTTGTTTTTCCATTTTCAGCATTAGATGCCACTTCCCATTTATTGGCTATGTCTGCATCAATGAGTTTTTAAGAGAAATATAAGATGCTAAATACAAACCCTCTTGATTACAACTGGGTTAATGACACCTCAAAATACTGACTAGAAAATGTCAGCACAGACCCTCTAGTTTAATCTTCTTCTAATTAAATAATCAAGCTTGTTGTGACCCCTTGTTTTTAGGTGGATGGTGGTTCTGAAAACAATCCTCTTGTTGCCATCCCACAAACCAACAGTCACCTGTTCTAAACTGATATGAAAAGGAATCAGCCAAGGGCCAGACTGCTTTTCCCCCAGATCTCTTAAACAGAGAACCCCCCTGGTTGATACACAACTAAGAATGATTGTCCTTCAATCAAAGGATATGTTTTCCTCTCCATGATTGATTTTGCCACAATATCAAAACATTTAGCAAATGTTTATCCTCACTGATCCTGAAGTACACTTTTTTGAGTCTCTGCCTTATTTTCAATTACTGAAATAACCAGAGAGAACAAACAAATCCAAAAAGGTAAGTGGCTAGTACATTTCCTCCACACCCTATTTCTCTAGTATAGTCTGTTCTTCTTTAGGATATTTATATCAAGATCTCTTTTCTTGCACAAAATTGATCATTAAAAGAAAAAAAAATCACTTACCCAGAACAAGAAGTTGAAGATAAACATAGAATATTTTATACAGCCACTCACACCTGCCATTTCCGAAAAGTACCAGGAGTCTAGATGCCTTCAATGTAAACTATTCGTTACAGGTTTGTCCTGCAAATAAGCCCCGGGAGTAATTTTCCTGCACAGATTCGGAGCAGAAATAGAAAGTAAAAAGGTAGACAGGAAACTAAAGAAGCAAAGAAAAAAAAAAAACAGTTATTGAAGTAGATAAAAATTTAACCCACACATTTAAATATCATAAAAGCTATCTTCAGGCAAGTACGTTGTTTTGCTTCTCATGGCTCCTAGGGCACTGGGCCAGGATATTTATGATCCGTTCTCAAAACCTGCCTCCTCTAAAGTAAACAGATATCAAGTTAAGGGAGTGGCTGGAGTGGCGCTGGGACCTAGGGGAGAATGGCACAGGGAGATTGGTGGTTGGACTTCAGAAACCACAGCCTGACTTTCCTGCCCTCTGTTTCCACGTAGGAAAATAAGGTTGTTTCACTCTGGGGTACAGGAGCATGGTGTCTATAGTTTTGCATTGCCTTTTATCAAGAATACTAAATTTCTGAATTCAATAAAGTGCACTTAAAAATCCGTAAAACCCTGAGGCTTAGACACAGACTCCTTTTATCATTAACCTCAGAACAGTAAAACAACAATTACATGTACCTGCCTTCCAAAGCTTTGGGGGTTATTTTTGTTAGACAAATTTTTTTCTTTCAAAACAATTGCATAAAGCTCCCAGGGTTGTGGAAGGTAGCCGGTTGTGGAAGGGAGAGGCAGCCTTGCCTATCAAGGTAAGATCATTTTGTTTTTAATCTTGATTTCTTTATGAGGGGAATTTTTTTTCCCCAGGAAGTCCCTCTGACTATCCCCATTGTCTTCCTTTTATAATGAGTTCCTTTTATGATAGCTTGGTTTGTTTTTAGGGAGGATACTCTATTTCCCTTGTTCTGATAGCTTATGTGTAGCAATAGCTCCAATCCACTAATTGTTTCTGGATTCTGGGTAGTTTTGGAAATAGGAAGGTCATCATGGGTCCAAGATCATAGACTGGACAATTTATTTCTTGTGCTAGTGGAAGCCAGCTATCCCCAGGGAAAAGCAAAAATGCTCTGAGCAGGAAGTACGGGCTGCTTTGGGTAAACAACCTGGGTCATTCCTCTTTCCATATTTTGCTTTTCTCAAAAGGAACTCCTCTGCCCTTAAACAAAGAGCCATATTCTTCAAAGGTTGTTTAGAAAGCAATTTAAAAAAATAATTAAAAAAAAGCTTTGTTAAATTCTGGATAACAAGCATAGACTTCTCCAAAAGAATATTTTTCTAATTTTTTGTTGATATACTATCTTACTCCCTAACTATGTATTTAATGTGTTATTGGTAATAACATTTGGTGTTAAAGAGCAAGTGTAGAATTATTTCCAAAAATAATGACTTCATGCTTAAATCATCAGTAACATGAACAGTATTGTATGCTATTTCATCTAGAAAACAAATAATTTCACAACTTTCTTCTAAAGTACTATGGTATACATAATAATTCATGGCTTGAGGCTTAGACTGTATAACAAACCAAATAGATTCATGGGTCCCTCAAATGATTATTTGTCCTACCTAAATAAAGTGAAAAGATATGTAGATTTTAATGCTGCTCTCTTGACAAAGATGTAGAGTCTTTATTTCCTTTCTATTTGGAATAGGTTTTCTGGTGGATCCTGAATCTCCTTAAAAACAAAAAAGGATAGTCTTCAATTATATCATTGTTTAACTCTGAAACTCAGGCAATGGATATGTTTTTACAGGAAAATGAGTGGATGCCATAGAACTCCTAGTCCAGTCTGAAGTTAAAATGACACAGCTCATCTCTCTAATTTCCTTTCCCACTAAATGTTAAAAAAAATCACAATACATGTCCAAGCTAAATACTGTCCTGTCTGTTCGCCTGTATTTTCTCTCTCACTTGCTACACATTACTCCTTACCCAAGCCTATCCACTCCCTAATTTCCTTCATCATCATTTCGTTCACCTTATCTTTGGCTATCGTTGTTTTTTTTTTAATTCAGCTCTTTGCTTTTAGTAGACTCACAGATTCATTTTCCTGTCACTCTCTTCTCCCAGCTGGGGCCCCACTAGAAATGAAGTCACAAGATTATCAGATGAGCAGATGAGTATTCTGCCCACCGGCCTCAACTACCAGTTGAGTTATGAAGTCTGAGTCATTTACCACCTGAGATCTTAAAGACGTGTCATAATTACCAATGGTGGGGTTGGGCTGGGCTGGAAGTGTCAGTAATAAATCTTTAGACTCAGTGAAAGACCAGGTCAGCAGGAGAGAGAGTGGAAACAACAACTACAACTGAGGAAAGAACAGAGAGAAAGTCTCAATAAATTTTAAGTTTCCCTGCTGCTGCCATCGTGCCAAATTGAGTGACGCACAGTGAAAGCATATGACAAAGCAGGACATGGATTCAGATCTGATTAATGGTGAAGGTTCTCCCTGAGGTCATTATCATTGAATTAAGTTTCAAGCAGAGTGGGGATGCTGGCAGGGAGAAAACAAAGAGATTCTTACTGCTCAGGGACCAGGAATGGCCATGTATAGAACCATGAGATGCCCTAGATGAGATACGGCATTTTCTCTAGATCATCGAGCAATCCAGACCTGAATCTGAGACTTGTTAAGGTCTGACTGTGTACTCTAAAGTTCATATGTTAGAAACTTAACTCCCAATACAGTGGTGCTGAGCAGTGAGATCTTTAGGTTAGGCAGACTTGGCAAATCCACAGAAAGTGGATTTGTTGTAAAAGTAAGTAAGTACATTTACTTCTCATATGCTCTCTCTCTCTTTCTCTTTCTGTCATGAACACACCTACATACATACAAGCACACATACACACATACATGAATACTGTCCTGCCCTTCAGTTTTCTGCCATGGGATGATGGAGCCAGAATTCCCTCACCAGACTGAATCCCTGTGACCTTGAATTTTCTAGCCTCTAGTACTGTGAGACATAAATCTCTGCTCTTTATACATTGCATATTCTCAGGTATTTCGTTGCAACAGTATAAAGCAGATTAAGATAGAACTTGATCCAGAAAGCACAACTAGATGAGTAGTTCATATTTTTATAAGGCATTACCTTCCTCTGTGTAAGATATACTCAAAAATCCATTCAATAGACTACATGCCACATGCCAAGCACTTTACAGGTGTCAGAAACACAATAGCAATGTAAAAAAACAAGGAAAAAAACTTCCATGCCGCTTATAATGAAGACGTAATTTTTTTTCTCTGTTTGCTTCTAAATCTCACAACATAAACTCAATGGAATAGCAAAATAATAATAATAATAAAGTAAATCTTCTGTTGAACTGGAAAGATTCTTTTCTTTCTCACATACTCTATTTTCATTCCCACTCTATATTACTTATATGGTTTATCATTAGAATACACCCAACAAACCACCTAGAGTAAAAAAAAATAACTGTTGAAAACATTGTCTCCCTAAAAAGAATGTACCAGAAATCAAGCTTTCACAAAAGATACCTTTGGGTAATGAATTCAGTAAGTGGCGTAGTGAATGTGTTGCCAAGTTCTGACAAGCAGTTGAGCTAGAATCATCGCAGAGATCCAGTAGCCAAATCCTCCAGAGAAAACAATCAGGGCTTTTAGCATTCTTACCCTAAAGATTGCTGTGACTCGTCACCAGGGTCTTCTCAAGAGGGCCTTCTCTGTGCTCTACTGAGTCCCTTCTCCCTCTGCCATCAGTCTATCTCCAGATGCAAAATATGATTATTTACTAGGTTTCCATTTCCCAGACAATTGCAATTCAATCCTATTATGATCACAGTTTAATTTCATTTTAGGTACTTTTAAAATTCCTCAGTTGCACATGATTGACCTCTTAGTTTATTCTTATAGATTTACTAGCTGTTCTCTCAAAGGAAATCTTATTTTCTTTCTCTCCAAATTGGGATGCATGCGCATGTAGACTACAATACTCAGCAAGAGAAGGGAGGATACAAAACAGGGCTTTGTAATCATCAGCCTGGGATCATTGAACAAGTCTTTCTATTAAATATTTGCCTGATTGTTTGCTTTAAAATGTAAAGTTTAAGTGCCAACCTGGCTTCTGTGAGTGTAATGAATTGGTCCTTTGTTTAGTGAGTTCACAGGTACACATTTGCCTCTAAATTAGATTAGGTCTTGAGTTAATAATGAAAAGATAAGCCCATGGAGGACACCAACCTAGAATTTTAAAGTATGATAGTAATAACAACAACAATAAGAATAAGAATAATAAATAGAATAGGCTGAGACTTTCAATGCTTGTCTCAAACAGCAGCTTCTCAAACTGAAGGAGCCAACAAAAGGTTACCCTGAATTCAACACAGTCATGTCCCATAACTGGTCAGAAATAATCACGGACATTTTATTCATTATACAAATAAGGATCTCACAGGTAACTATTTCCAAATTAGAAAGATTTATGCAACACTGAGGGAAATCTCTTGTGTGGATATTTTCATTCCCAGGGAACAATAAAATAACAGGAAGTCATTGTAAAAAAGTCATTAATGGGGAAATCCCAAACCTCCATTTTATACCTTTATAGGGAACAAAAAATGTATACCAAAATACACTGAGGCAGAAAATAATTCCTGCTATGGTTTTATTGGATTTTTTCAAACCACAGAGGGTCTTATTTCAGGTTTTACTTGAGCCGTGAATACTGGATATTGTTTTTTTTCTGAATGTAGGAAAAAGAGGGAAGAAATGGGTACCTCAGGAAACCTGTGGATAAGTACCTAAACCAGACTTCCAAAAACAGGGATGGTGGCCTGGCTGCATTTTTCCCATCATCAGCCTTTACAAAGAATGGTCCACTCCAATTCAAGTACTCAAATAGAAGTCCATACTTGTAAGGATATAATATCTAACTCTTTCGGAATGGAATGCACCATTTCTTCTAGACCTCTCTTTTCATTCCTCTTTCTCATTTCTGATCAAACTATCAATATATCCTTCCATAACTTTCTTGGTAATTCTCTTACTTCTTAACAGTGTGGTTAATTCAGAAAGTGCCTCTCATGTCAGGAACTCAATTTTTTTTTTAATAAACTACTCTTGGGAGTCATCCAAGTGCCTGTGGGTAAAACAGTACTGGCGTTGTTTTGCTTTATACAGTCATGTTGATCTCTAATTTTGTCCAAATTAATCATTAAACCTTTAGAAAAACATTTCAAATGAGATGCCTCACTTCTGTGTCTCACATATTCTTTTATTTTATTCCTTACTTGTAGAAGGGACACAAATTGTCTCTACCTATCAATTCACTTATACCACATTCTTTCCTGAGGCTTCAGATAACCCAAACTCCCAGTGATCATTATTCTTCTTCCTCTTCACTTGCTTGAGTGT